TCATCAGACTTGAAATATGGAATTCATACGATAAATATCGATTTTGTAACAACAATTTTCTAGGAACAAAGACGCCAAATTTGGCTAACGTTGGATACCAACCCTCGAGTCACAGGATATCTCTGAGTCGAGCAATGATATATATCATTTTTTTAGGGCTATTGCAGATGGTCTCAATATATTTTTAAACCATTTCGAAGCGGATATATTCAAGCTTCGTTGCGTCGCAAAACTTATCATTATAATTTTTTCCTCGTTTATGATTATGTTATGAAGCTCCGCTTTCTGTTTGCCCCTTTTTTTATATATTCTATTTTATTTTTTTTTTCTGGTTGTACAAGCTTTTTAGTTGGTTCTCAAAGCATTTGGCATAAGATTGTGTTTGGGTTGCTGTCCGGTTTGCTTCACCGATGTGGCCTACAGCATTTTGTGGCAACATCCTTATGATAACTGTCTTTATGTGCTTGTTGTGCGAAGTGGCTGCTGGTAGAGTCGTCATGCATGCGCCACTATTTGATGCACTCTTAGCCTTGCCACAACTTCCTGTATCCTATCGCCTGCTACTAGTCTGTCTCTTTCCTTCATTCTCTTTCACTGTCATCGTCTTGGCCTGTCTCACAAACACACGCACATTTAGCCATAGATTGGCACAGCTCTTGATCTCTTTCGCTCGCGTTTGTCTCTCTCTCTCTCTCTCTCTTTCTCTTTCTCTTTCGTTACTGTTGTGTCTGTAGGTGTATATATCTCTCTCACTCTTTCTATTACACACACACACACTCTATCTCCCTCTCTCTTTCCCACCTTCGGTATTGAACTCTTTCACACCATCTTCTCTACACACTGTCTGTCTGTCTCTGTTTCTTTCTTTCTCTCTCTCTCTCTCTCTCCCTGCCTTTCTCTCTGTTCTTCTGTTTTCTATATGTTTTATCCACAGGATGTTCCAGCCCTGCGTGATAGCGTCTATCACATCGACTCCTTTGTGTTGGGCGCTCCAAAAAGCGCCATTTTCGTGGGATTACAGAACGATTTCATGTGCGACTTCGCATACAATCTCGAGAACGAGCAGCGCAAGCAGCTCCAGCAGCTCCAGCTCCAGCAGCAGCAGCATTCGAATGAAGAATACAATGACCTGGAGCGGAGCAACTTGAACAGCAGCAGCAACAGCAACAGCAATAGCAACAGAACCGACTGCAGCCGCAGTAGTCAAAAGTGCAACTTTGAGGTGCCACAGCAGGTAGCGCCGCTGGGAGGCGACTATGATTGCGATTCCGATTGCGATTACGCTTACGAATGTGACAGCAACAATGGTCCGGGGCAGACGCTGGCTTACGACGATGGCTGTCACTATGGGCAGCAGCTGGAGCACCTGGACGAGCAGCTGCAGCCAGAACAGCAGCAGCAGGATCAGCTGGAGGAGGATGAAGAGGAGCATGAGGAGGAGGAAGAGGATGAGGACGATGAATACGATGATGGCATTGGCTTCAGTTGTGACAGCGACAGTGCCACCGTGCCGGAGGATGATGAATTCGTGCTGGTCGCTGGCCACTGCATGCCCATTACGGATGGTCGACTGGAGCTGCCCAGCTCTAGCAATTCCTACACTAGTTCGCTGCAGTGCAGCACCCCCACGGGCACCCCCACGGGCACGGCATACTTATCGTCAACATCCACCGAAACGGATGCCATACTGCCAGAGTTGACACCGCCGCCACCACCACCACCGCCGCCGCCATCGGCCCAGCTGCATCAGTCGAAGCTCAAAGCCAAAAAAGCCTTGAAATTTTTTAATAAAATCATCTAGATTGACGCCATCAAACTTCGATCGTTTAGCACGTGCCACTGTGGACACTGAAGAGTTGTGTGGATGGATGGTGCATCATTAAATGTCTAAGCTATTGCACAATCAATCCCACACAGACACACACACACACACACAATCATTTGACCACATTGGCGTCTGACCCACTCCTTTAATAGAAGAACAAACACACAGCCCTCTTTTCTCTGGCGGCCTTTGTAGTTGTAAACATGGACGTGGAACAGGTTGCCATCAGTCGATCTCATTTTCCCATTCGCACTGTCATTGCCCTTGTTGATAAATTTGACGCTTATTTCTTGTGAAAAGAGACCCGCGCTTTTTCCCTAATCCGACTCAACTCTCAATTGGCTTGCTTTAGCATAGGTATTAAAGGTGCAGCAAATGGCAATATACAATTCTTTTCAAAAGAATCCTTGTTGTCACAATGCTTTCAATTCATTTTGACTTGAATGTATTTTTCGCTTAAAGAGATGTATTTTACATTTCCTTTTCCATTCGGACAAAAATTGGAAATATTTTCTTTTTGTGCTTGCGACTCAACTGGAACTCTTGAAAGAAAATTCAATTTTCTTTTTATTTGAACAGTTCACAATGCAACCTTCGTTATGTTTTATAATTTATAAATTAAAAAAAGATCTGTTCAACTTTAAGAAACTATTATGAAATTTTAAGGGAGAGGCATAATATTTGCGTGGCGACTTGCGTGGAAAATTGTAAAACTCATAATTGCCGAGCTAGCTCAAGATAGCTCAAAAAATAGCTTGGCTATTGATACTGATCAAGAATATATAAACCTTATGGGATCCCTTTCTAAAATTTACAAAATTATAATGCTCTATGCATGAGCATAAACAAAAATAAGCTGCATTTAGTTTAGATAGTCCATAAAGTAAAATTAGTCGGCTATATATCGAATATCGTGTTAGTTATCTAATTAATAGATGGAATAACAATAAATGCGCATGTACTCAATGAAATATTTATTGAAAACATATTTAACGACTGTGAAAAGGCATTTGAGACAACAAAATGAATTGTTTCAGACAAAGGCAGAAACACACACAATCAAGATTTTAATTCAAAGTAGCATTTCTTTTGTTTCATACATATTCCTATTAACCAAATGCACTTTAAGCTACGATTTGGGCCACAAAGTGAATGGTTAACAATTATTTAAAGTATAAACAACAACAACTACACCGAGAGCACACGCACACTTACTAAAATCTGTTTACTTGTAATTTCTAAATGCATATTACTTAAGCAAAAGAAAAGTTTGTTTCAAATGTTGAAATGCTGCTTTGGCTTTTATATCTTTAATTTAAAGCAATAAGCCCTAAAGCTATTTAATAAATAATTGTAGTTACAACCAATAATAATTAAAAACTTTGCAGCCTCTTATAAACGACAGCACAATACCTTGCACAATTCATTTCAAAAGCAAATGGAAATGGTTTAAAAGGGCTTATGATGTGGCTTATAAGAAGGGTTTTAGGACATCACTACTCTGCTAAATTTGATGAATACACCAAATTTTCTTGGAAATGTTTTCGTGATAGACCCGTCCTTGGGTGGGAAGCGCCAACGCGGATATACACGACTATTTATGCGTTATTTTTGATTCAAAAATAGGCATATATATTAGCTATTTCAAATTGTGAACAGGGTATAACGAGCAAATTGGAAATGCTGCCAAGAACTGTTAAAGCACTTGAAAACTGACCAGTTTCGGCCGGCGAATTTTAATACCCTTGCAGACTAACCGCTATAGATATTAAATTTACTAAACGACAAAATATATATGTCCATTGTATGATAAATCACTCTTGAAACATGATTTATTATTGTTTAGTTTTGTATGATATCTGGAAAATCCCGCAAAACATTAGACGATTATATTAAAGTACCATCTGCAAGGGTATAAAACGCAGCACACCTTAGACACAGTTGTGACCCTAAGAAAAAATACGTTGGGGAAACGCAAAAGTAATCAAAAAACCCAAACCAATTACTCAAAAAAGACAAACTTAAAAAGTCCATAAAGGTAATATATATATATTTATATATATATATATATATATATTTATAAAGTAGCGTGATTTGCATATTGAAACCTCTGTTTCAATCAATTGAAAATTGCAGTTGTTTTTTTATCTTTTACTTTCCTTGGGGTTTTTTTTTTTTGTTATAATTGAAGTTTTAGTCGTAGTTATTCAAACTGCAAGCAGCTTAAAATGATGGACACAAAATGGAAATGGAATATTGTATAATAAACAGAGAGAGAAAAAGGGGGAAAACGTGGATCAAATGTTTGACTTGCATATTTTATTATGAATGCAGTTTGGAATGATGTCGAATGGCGACCACAATGCGGCAATCTTGGCAAGGAGTGCAAGAACTCCTTCAGCTCGGCCAACTGCCAGCATCGCCAGCCGCACACTGCCCTGCTCGAGTTGGCCGACCTGCCCTGATCCCCTTCAACCCTGCCAGCTACATTCCGTACAGCTCCGTTTCACCCTATCCAGTTCGGTTCTGTCCTGCCCCAGCGCCTTCATTATTATGTAGTATTTGCGTATTTACGCTTCCTTTTATGCACGCTCAAGTGCAGCTCGATTCCACGCGCACAATCGGCGTATTAATGACTTCGACAGCGATGACGGCCAGTTGTCTTGAGTGGCGGGCGGGGTATGGCACTCGGGTGGCCTGGTGAAGGGGGTGTCGGGCATCAGGAATCAGGTGGCGGGCACTTAATTGCTGCCCCGTTATCCAGTTGACAGCCGAAGCCAGCGTTAAAGCGCTGAAAATTAATATTACGCATACGCCGCGTTGCACGCAACAACACATCGAGCAGCAGCAGCATCCAGTTTCAGCCAGCAGCCAAGCTGCATCCACCAAGCTCTTTTGCTTAAAACAGTTTGAAATGCGGGCTTTGTTTATGGCTTCCCATTACCCGCTGCTACCCTGCGCCCCGTTTCCAAGCCAGAGCATTTCATAAGCCATCAGGCCCGCAAAATTAATTGAAAATATTTATTATTGCGCTTATTATACCTATATATTGGGTATATACATATCTCGTTATCGCTGCCGCGTCTCTCTCTCACTCTCTATCACTCTTTCTTTCTTTCTCATGCATTTTATTGGTTTCTGTGGCCATTTCGCTGCCATTTCTTGGTCATTCCAGGAGCACATACGCGAGTCCAAGGAGAGCAAACTGGACGAGGTGGGTCGCAATTCCAAGGCGCGCTCGCGCGAAAACATATCAAGGTGAGTATATACCGAATAACCCGCTGCTTCGGACCCCACCGTAAAAAATAAGTGGAGCACATTATCTGCACTAGTCAAGGCAGAAAAAAAAGGTTAAAGAAGCTGCTTTGCATGACTAATTAAAAATCCTATTGCGAATGTATTTTGTGTGCCACCGACTGCGGCATAAAACAACAATTCAAAAAGACAAAAAGCTGCGAGCTTAAAAAGTTACAGAATAAACAAAGACAGTAAATAATTTCAATTTCAAATGAAGACAGCATTTTAAATATTTATACAATGACTTCAGTTTGCAGGTGAAATATGATGACCTCCAGATGATGTGTGCCACAGTAAAAAAAAATATTTCCTTACTTGTTTTAATTAAAAGTATGAACCAATTCATTTGGGAGAATTTTAAGGGAAATGTAGAAGAGTTCTTGAATTGCTCAAATTCTCAAATTTCGCAACAATAAAATAGAACAGTTTTTAAAAAAGGAATAGGAAAACCATTCATAAAGCAGATATGTAAAATGTTTGCAAGACTTTAAAATTTTCCAGTGAATTGAACTAATTGTAAATGTTTACAGTTTCGTTAGCTAGCTTTGAAGCTCGTATCAGTCTCAGCTGACTTACATATCTCTAGCTGTTTTCTTGATTTGACTTATGTAGATCGTTTCAGCTTATTATGTTGTTTAATTGATTTATTGATTTTATGCATTGCAGACAAAAGCATTCGCAGACGTCATTACAAATTCTCGATGACGTTTCGAATCGTTACTATCGCGAGGCGGTGCCCATATCTACACAGTCGAGCAAGGCTGACTTTAAAGAGAAGGAGCATAGCATATTACGTCGCCATCCAGATATGACCCAAACGAGCCTATGCGGTGGCATCGATGGCGACGATGGCGAGTCCTCATCGACGACCACGGGAACGCATGACATGATGATGACAAAGGCAGCTATTGCGACCGCACCGGTTAATGCCTGCGATATGGGCTGTCAAACGAGGTAAATGTATGGCGGACTTGGGGGATATATGCGCTGGGCAGGGCTGGCATTACATGGCCTGGCGTGGCGTGGCGTGGTCATCATCATCAGCATATGTGCATTACACTAGACGCGCCCAAGCTATAATACAAATTGCAAAGTCAACGACGAGCAAACGGCAAAAACAATGAAAATGTTTTCATGAGGCGGCTGATGATGGAATGAAGGCACAGTACGTGTATATAAATGGCTATGAGCCGGGGCATGGGCAAGACAACGTGTTCAAGACCCGAAAACACAGTGCCTGATGCTTGTACAACACAAATCGATGCAAATATTTGTATTTGCATGCGTCTTCATTGGGCCGGAGCCATCTGTACACAGCTGAGTCAGAGCTCCCATATGGGAAAGGTAGGGTCTAGGGCGCGACGAGGTGGCACAGCAATCACAAACATGACGCAAGCACGCGCGTCAGAGATGACAGAGCCATACCCGAAGCGGAGTCAGTATCACGAAATACAACTAGAAAATCACAATTGTCCAATAAAGCAGCATTAACGAAGAGGATTTCCTATACTTTGTCAAAGTAGATGCTAACTTAAATGGCCATATGACAGGTCTTGGAAGATCTATACTAAAATATATGTACATTCTTTTAAATAATTAAGTGAAAAATGCAAATTTCAGTTCTGAACACAATAATCGAGGCTTAAGCTCACGTTAACTGTTAACAGTCATATTAACAGAATCGCAGAAGCTGTCACAGAAACATTTATACTTTATACGTATGATTCGCAGTGGCTAACACTGTTACAGTCACTAATATGAATTGTAACAGTGACAGGCACGCATACATTCCTAGATCTACTTATGACTCAATAAAAAAAGTAACAGTAGCAGTTACATTAATGTAAGTGAAGTAAAAAAACAGAACTGCAGCAACACAGTAACAGTCACAGCTTGAGATATCACTTAACAACAAAAAGTATTTGTAGAAAGGTCTCACTAACTAGGCATCAAGATATTTTTAAGCAGTAAAAGTAACTGGAATATTAGCAGACACACGTAGAGCAACAGAGGTTTTTGCAATTGCAACTGTAAGGTAACAGAGAGACCTCTGGCTCGACAGAGTAACAACATTATGAGCAGTAACATTGCGGTAACATACAAAATTCCAGGTACAAAAACTATAGTAAACAAATGACAGTAACAGAATAGACAACAGCGCCAGTAACAGAGTTAAAGCAACATTCGTTACAGTAACAGTAACAGTCACGGTTACAACAACAGCTATAATTTTAAACTATAATTTTATCAGGCAGTAACAGTAGCTGTAACGTAAACATAAACAGTCAGAGTAACAGTAACAGCAACAGCAAAAGTAACGTAACAGTTACAGTCACAATATTGGTGACAATCACAGTTCACAGTCTTTGTTTTGCCTCAAGCTTGGGGCACGCGCATACTTTCGACCATATGGCTGATGATGGGAGCGGAGCCCCGCCCGTACCCGTGCCCGCAACAGACGCACTGATTGAGCTCCGGTGCGACGAGTGCTGCACGGGGTGTGGGGTTTATGTTAGGAACATGAAAGACAAATATTGAAATGTTTCACTTATCTTTGCTTACCTTCGCCCCACAGGGAATCGCTGTTTGCGAACAGCCCCAGTGCCGTTGCGACGCTAATGAGACAAAAGTCCAGCTCATCATCGCTGGGTGGTGGCAGCGCAGCGGGCGCTGCCATGCCGCCGCCGCCGCCGCGGTTCTTCTCCACATTCGGCTATGAGCAGGGCACGGCACCGGGCCTGGTAGCCGTGTCGCCGTCGCTGCCAGCGACCACACCACCGCCACCGGCACAGATGCTGGGCACACTGGCGCGTCGTAGCCAAATGCATATGCAACACGCACCGTCGCAGCACGAGTCGCTCGAGCTGGAGGAGCGGCACAGCGGCGTGGGCAGCATGGGCCAGCGGTCGCATTATGGCGTGATAGTGGCCTCCGTAGTCAAGCCGCAGGAGATCTGCCACCATCATCATCAGCACCAGCAGCACCACCAGCAGCAGCAGCAGCAGTTGCAACAGCAGCAACAGCGCTCACATCATGCACATCCTGTGCACCAACATCAGCAGCACCAGCAGCAGCAGCAGCAGCAGCAGCATATACTGCAACAGCACCAGCCACCGAACGTTGCAACGCGACAAATGCAGCTGCAGAAGGGCCACGGCCAGTTACACGGCCAGACGGTGTTGCCCAGCAGTAAAGCGGGCGGAGGAGGTGCTGCCGGCAAACAGCAGAAAAACGAAGAGTCCAAAGTGTTCATCGACATACGGAATTCAGCGCCAGACGTGATTATCATGACGTCCCATTGACATTTAAGGATTGCCCGCCAATCAGCAACAGCAGCAGCAGCAACAACAATTGTGACCAGCAGCAACAACAAGAGCAACAACAGCGTGGACAAAAACAACGGAACAATGGCTGGCATATTAACCACAGCCACAGCGGCGCCGTTGACACGACACGGACATGCACACGGATACGGACTCGGACACGGACACCAACATGGACGCGGACATGGACACGGCGTGGCGCAATCAGGCAAACGAATAGCAAACGCCACGTTTCCGGCCGGAAGCGAGTGTCGCATTCAGATGCATTTTTGGCTTTAAAGCCAGGTAATTTTAATTCTTTCGGCTTGTTTTTCACCCACTTTCGGCTCTCAACATTGTCTCAAATTGCGCCGGCAGTTGGGCGTTCGGCCTCTTTGCTGTTTGCCAACCAAATCGCCAGCAAGTTTCTCGCCGAAAACAATGAGAGGACAGGCAGACACAGACACACATTCACACTCACACACACACAGACAGAGAGCACTTACAAGACATGTATATGTATATAAATAGTCGCTGCTGTCCAGAGCCGTGTTTAGCTCGCATACGTGCAGACACTAAGCAGACGCTTGACAACGTGGCGTATGAACAACATGTGCCAGGACGACGACGACGACGACAACAACGAGAACAGCCACAGCGACAACTCGAATGTGCACACAAACGTTGACCACCAAGTGGACATTGTCAGCTGCATTCTGCTGCCTCGACATATCCAACCACCTCCTCTCTCCTCGCCCTGCTCCAGCCAGGCTCCTGTTGCTTAACTTGCGGCTTTCAGAAACTTCTTCATTTACATGCATGACGAACGTGACACGGCGATGTTGCCGTCGCAACGCAATTCCCGGGTAACAGGCTCGGGTCCAGGGACATCGTGGGTCAGCAGACAGAGTCCATCCATCACGTGCACGTGCAGCACGCTAGCCCTCTACCTCTCTCCAGACCTTCCCTTTGCCCACTCACTGCCGCAATTTGCGTGAAAACAGTTTTTAAGTGATTTTTTGTGCATTTCCCCTCTCAGCTCATCCTTCTGAGAGTTGTTGCTAGAGCGATGTTTTAATCATTTAATTAAATTGTTTTTAATAAAGCCACCCACTACTACCCCCAACCCCGCACCCAGCAGAACGAGGACAACTGCTAATTGGACAGACTCACATATTTCAACGTCAATTTGATTATCGGACACGCGTTCTGAATTCATGAATTTGATGCACGATGTCATCTCTGACATCGCCCCAACCAAGCTCATTCAAGCGTTCAAGTGTAGCTTATTTCTGTTTTTTTACGCTTTTCACTCCCCATCAGGTTGGGGAAAACTGTCAACTCACAATTAGCACTGTCACCATATTGCGTTGGCGGTCAACGTTTGTCACAGTGCGTCAATTGAAGCCGAAAAATTCCCATCTGACGTGTTCCAGCATTCACTTTCGACGAGCATTTTTTGTATCTTTCATGTCATATAATTTTCAATTATCTTAGCTCTTTTTAACATTATTGAAACTCTCATATAGAGAAATGAGCATCGATATCTAAACGATTTAGTTATTTAAACTGAAAGAATACATGACGGAAAAAACAAACCGAAATAGTTTTGTACAATTTCTTAAAACAATACTATATTTAAGAATGTTAAGATTAAGAAGGAATTTTTTTTTTTTTTTGAGAAGAAAAAACAATGATGAATTTTTCAGCATTTTGAAAATATTTGCATCAATGTTTCTTCTACATACATAATTCATAATTTTCCGCTTTGAAAAAGTGAAAGATTTGAATGTTGGAACAGACGGACGCAATGGCATAGGGGCTGAGGTGCAGAGGGGCGTGGCCGTTTTCCCGGTACAAAGCCAAAAATGCCAAGCAATTTGATTGATTGAATTGAAAGACGAACAGCAACACGGCCAATGATGAGCACGAGAGCTTGGGAGGTATAGAAGACAAGGGATAACAGATCAGGAACCGATTGTCCTGTGGGCTGGTTCAATGGCAAAAACCACTCATTACGCTTAACTTGATGCGCTTGTCATGCAGCCTTGCACTTTGAAGCACAAATCATTAGCAGGATTAGAGGGTGATTACAAACGGTCTGCACTCACTCGAGGGCAAAGTCACAGCCGTTAGACAATTTTTGTGTATACTTAAAAGGCGACCTGGCTCAAACGCGGAGACAGTTGGACACATTATGAATGCCAGCATCAAATTGAATTTTCATTCTCTGACCGCAAAACTCATTAAAAATATGGAAAAATGTTTGAAAGTGTGCTTCTTTTTACTTTTTACTTGCTAAAATAACACGTAACCTGGGTTAACCTGTATGGGGTTTACTTTTTGACAGAAATTGAGAGCGGGGTAGAGCGACCGAAAAAATATGCTGGTTCATTATTACAATTATTTTTTATACGCAATTTTCAATTGATTTTTTGTTGGCTGACCGAATTCATGTGGAATCCGAGAGCAAATGTTAAAAGCATTTGCTGCACCCGCCATATAGGGGCGATAATAATATAAAATTGATTACACCTTGTTGCTGGCCCATGTTTTTTTTTTTATATTTGGAGGCAAGCGGCATGCCTACCTATTTGTGGTATTTCTCATCAATTTGGGCATATGTATTTGTGCAGCAGGTGTTTTTTTTTATCGTAGAAGTGTTAAATAATTGAGCAGCGAGGTGAAATACATTTGTTTTTACGCTCCTTTTTTTAGTTGTTTGTTTTTGCATTAAGCTCTTGTTCATGAACTCAAAGTTCCACAGACATGCTGCGGGCTTTGGATAATACTACATATGCTTTCATAAATGTTATGCAGCATCAGCAGTAAGTTTTTGTACATTTCGTTGTCATCAGATTTTGGCCAAAACACTCTTAGCTAATCTAATTTCAATAAAGTTTAACTTGAGCTGAAATTAAAGCCTAGCTTTGGCTATTGAGTTGAGATATATAAACCTTTCTTTAGTTTTTAAATCATTCGACTCTAGTGAAATTGTGTAAATATAAGCAAAACTAACCAAGCAAGCGGCACAGGCGGCTCCAAATCGAGCTGCTGTTCACTTGTCAGAGATTTAGCGATTTTACTACAATAATTAAAATTACAAGTATTTTACTCGTAATTGTCTACTAGATAAATAAGCCTTTGGATAATACTATAGATTTTTTGTAAAGCAAATTTTTTTGTAAACGAGCAACGCATACTTCAAGTATAAAAATAAAAAAAACAAAAACCAAAAAGCGAAACAGAAGAAAGAAACAAATACTACAATTTTTATTAGATGTTATATGCCTAACTGAATAAATATATATATAATAATATATAATTTTTTTTTTTTGGATAGCATAAGCACGCATACGACTAACGACTGCAAGCATTGTATGTAAACTATAAATGGCCCCGATAAAATTTCAAAACGGAGCATTCAAATGAATTAATGAATGGATTAAAAAAAGCATAAAACATAATTTTGATTAAGTAAAAATTATAATTGTGTGTGTGAAAATATGTGTAAAATACAAATAAAAATTTAAAAAATAAATTGTCTAATGCTACAAAATAAATTTTAATGTGCAAAGTGTGCGCAATAATGCGTTTTTATTTCTCTCTATAGTCCCGTGCAGCCCAGCTACAAGCCACAATTGATAAATCTAGTCAGCAAACCAGAAAAAACTATGCCTCTTAAAATGTTAAGGAAATTACAATTTTAATTAAACAAGTAATTTATTAATTAATTAAATTGTTGCCGCTTTCAACCAGAGTCTCTTATCCCTTCTGCTTTCAGTTAATAAACTGCGCTCGATACAAAATATCATTAGGTTTCCATCTCGGAGCAGACTATGATACTCTGGCAATATACATATTTCATACCGTAAACCCAATGAAAATGTATAAGAAAGGTATATTGATTTTGTGCAAATGTATGTAACAGGCTGAAGGAATCATCTCCGACCCCATAGAGTACATATATTCTTTATCAGCATCAACAACCGAGTCGATCTAGCCATATCCGCCTGTCTGTTCGTCTGTCCGTCCGTCCATATGTATGAACGCAAGGATTTCAGCACGAGTTTGTTTCCGATAATCGATAACATACTCCGATATCAAATCGAAGTACTGTTTTTTGGGAAAATTAAACTTGATATATGGCTTCTAGATATATATATCTTTCATTTCATAGCTATGACCACATCCTCGCTACCAACGCGTAGCTATAAATCAAGTAAATAAACCAATTTATGCTGCCCACCAATAAAAGCCACAATTTAAATGCAATTGACTTTTTGAGAATGCACAAACATTCTATAGCACAGTAAGATTTACTGTGGAAACTTCATTAAGATCGGTTAAGAAACACAACATTTTATTTTGCGGCTGGCCTGCGGCAGCTCGGGGATATTGCAAGAATTTCTGTATAAATGTACACACACACATTCATGTGCGTCTTCTTTGAATTCTATCAACAGCATTGCAATTGCGATTGTATTGTTTTCTGTGCTGCCTTTTTATCGTTTTTATTTCCTAATTAAGACTCAATTATGGGTGTGGATGTTAAGTAGACCCTGAACCCATTAAAAATGGGTATAAGGGTATATTGTATTTGTGCAAAATCCAAATGTATGTAACAGGCAGAAGGAAGCTTCTCCGACCCCATAAAGTATTTATATTCTTGATCAGCATCAATAGCCTAGTCGATCTAGCCATGTCCATGTATGAACGCAAGGATCTCAGAAGCTATAAGAGCTACAGACTTGAAATTTTAGATGTAGATGCTCGATATCGATATCGATATCCTGTTTTTGGGCAATTTTGGTAAATAATAAGAACTAGAGTCACCAAACTTGACATATAGCATCTAAAATAGAATATATATATGCATTTGATATTGGAAGAAGAAAAGGGAGCTCCCGACTTGAACCTCTTACTTGTTTAATATTATGTTCAAGCAAATGGCTTGGGTATGCAAAGTAAGTATATTGATTTAGATAAAGCTACCTATTTATATGGCTTGAATAAATCCAGTGGAATCCAGAATCTAACTTGAGATACTCCAAAAAAGGTGGACTTTGCAAGCGAAACGTTTTTTGGCCAACAACTTTTTTTTAATGAATGCCATATGATCGTAGAGATCCGTACGCATTCAAAAAGGTATAACATTTCAAAAACAGGATATATTTACCCGAGAGTTAAAAAAAAAATCGTCAAAAAAGTTTGTTTTTTTAACTTATATATGTTTATTGTATTGAATCAAAAAATAGCATACATTTTTATTACAAAACCGTTAACTTAGGTGGTATCTCGCCAATCCTGGTTGGCTCCTCAGGCTTTGTCGTGGACAAACGTCCAAAACGACATAACTCCGCGCGGAAATATGACGTTCCTAAACGACATAACTCCGCGCGGAGATCTGACGTTCCAAAACGACATATCTCCGCGCAGAGATATGACGTTCCAAAACGACATAACTCCGCGCGGAGATATGACGTTCCAAAACGACATATCTCCAAGATGACATAACTTCGCGCGGAGATATGACGTTCCAAAACGACATAACTCCGCGCGGAGATATGACGTTCCAAAACAACATATCTCCAAGATGACATAACTTCGCTTGGAGATATGACGTTCTAAAACGACATATCTCCAAGATGACATAACTTCGCGCGGAGATATGACGTTCTAAAACGACATAACTCCGCGCGGAGATATGACGTTCCAAAACGACATATCTCCAAGATGACATAACTTCGCTTGGAGATATGACGTTCCTAAACGACATATCTCCAAGATGACATAACTTCGCGCGGAGATATGACGTTCTAAAACGACATAACTCCGCGCGGAGATATGACGTTCCAAAACGACATATCTCCAAGATGACATAACTTCGCTTGGAGATATGACGTTCCTAAACGACATATCTCCAAGATGACATAACTTCGCGCGGAGATATGACGTTCTAAAACGACATAACTCCGCGCGGAGGTATGACGCTCCAAATAGACAAACCTCCGCGCGGAGATATGACGTTCCAAAACGACATATCTCCAAGATGACATAACTTCGCTTCGCGGAGTTATGTCGTTTAGGAACGTCATATCTCCAAGATGACATAACTTCGCGCGGAGATATGACGTTCCTAAACGACATAACTCCGCGCGGAGATATGACGTTCCAAAACGACATAACTCCGCGCGGAGATATGACGTTCCAAAACGACATAACTCCGCGCGGAGATATGACGTTCCAAAACGACATATCTCCAAGATGACATAACTTCGCGCGGAGATATGACGTTCCTAAACGACATAACTCCGCGCGGAGATATGACGTTCCAAAACGACATAACTCCGCGCGGAGATCTGACGTTCCAAAACGACATATCTCCGCGCAGAGATATGACGTTCCAAAATGACATAACTCCGCGCGGAGATATGACGTTCCAAACCGACATATCTCCAAGATGACATAACTTCGCGCGAAGATATGACGTTCCAAAACGACATATCTCCAAGATGACATAACTTCGCGCGGAGATATGACGTTCCAAAACGACATATCTCCAAAACGACATAACTCCGCGCGGAGATATGACGTTCCAAAATGACATAACTTCGCGCGGAGATATGACGTTCCAAAACGACATAAC